GGGAGAAGTATGGAAATTTAGGGGAAAAAATGAAAAAAAAAAAGAAAAAACGAAGAAAAAGGCATTTATTCTTTAGTGGAGCTTTTTTTTTCAGACGCTTATTTGATTTCATTTTTCATGTTTTTATACAGTTACCCTGCATTCCTTTTACTCCTATTTTTTTTGGTACCCAGCATATATTTCTTAGCTCCATAGTTGATCTCATACCCTCACAAAAAATGTTCTCATTTTTTTTTGTTTCTTTACACATATTTTGCTTTACCTTTTCTCCCTTCCACTTGTAATTTGTTTATTTTTTTTCAATGTTTTTTCCTTCTCCGTTTTTTATCCTTTATCGTCTGCTATTCTTTTTGACACACATTTTCTTCTCTCTTTTACCGAAGTAACGCATATATGACCCTATTTCATTGATGTTAAGTGTCCAGATTTTAAAAAGATTTTATTCCAATCTGAATCTTACGTAGAAAACGATATTGCAACATTTCTCTTGAAGACCATTAAATATAAATTATTTAAGAGAAAGAAAGGTTTAATTTAAAAATAATTGTCTGAATAAATATTTTGCACATAGTGAATATAGACAACACTGAATACAAAAATGAGAAAAATGATGTACATTCAGTTTAGTCTGACACAAGTCCAACATAAGGAGAGAAAGATTTACGCCAACCCCTACCAATGGAAAAAACTGTCAGTTTGGAAAAATCAATGTTCGATATTATGGCATTTAATTTAGGTTCAAATTGCAACTAAAAACACCCGTCGAAAATGCGAATTCAACACGGCTCTGAAAATAATTCTTTTTAAAAAAATTTGTGATGGTTGATGATGATCATGATGATTTTCATGGATGTGTTCAGTACTGAGAAGATCTTGGCATGTATATACCTTTTAGATAAAACGTCATTGTAGACATCTTATGAATGTTATGTCCCTATTTAATACACACACACACAAACACACACACACACACACACATATATATATATATATATAGTTGGTTAGTAATAAATAAAATAACAAAAATGCAGCAACAACAAACCGCAGTCAAAAATCTTTTCTGACGAGAATAAAAGAGAAAAAAAAGTGATTGACAATTAACATCCAGAAAATTGTTCATAAACTGACTTTATGTTCTTTGAAATGTTTATTAAAGAATTTTGACTGAAAATTGTTATGATGTGTGGGTTCGATAGAAGGGGTGATGTGAAGGGAAAACGCCCGAAGCTTGGGAAATTCTCAATTGTTTTGTCCACTATGACCGTGATTTATTCACGCTTGTTTCTATTCAAACATTGTTGTCGGAACAAAAATGTAAAACACTCTTAGGATATCACACCCTTCAAATTCACTTTGTCTTGAGTAAAAGGTTCTTTTCTGTAAAAAAAACTGAAATGAAATTCATGACGTTCCAATCAACTGTAATGAAAAAGAATATTGAAGATATGTTTAATTTTATACTGTTCACAAAAGCAATTGAAAATCACCCGAGCGGCTATAATGAATTTGTAATGAAAAGCCAATATTTTGGAGTTCTCAAGTTTATTCAAAATAAATGTTATGTTAATGCTTTACTAAAAATTGCTTGTATAGTTATTTACTAAGTGTAGGTTGGATGTGGCACAAGTAGGAAATTAGTGATCACCCTGTGAAAATTGTACTTACTACTCAATCTTAATTGTTTTATCGAGACAAACTTGCTAACCATTATACCACGTCGAATTATGTATTACGGTTGCACTATATACTAATAATATATACTAATTTTGATTATATTATATATTAAACCTTCTTTTATGTCTCGTGCTCCTTCAGGACGCGGGCGATCATGGCTCTTCATAACTTCTTGTCCTTTGTAGCTCTTATTAAGGTTTCACTTTTTATTACCGTTACTCACATGTCCGGTCCATGGTATTTTCAGCATCTTTCTGTAGACCAACATTTTTGTTGCCTCAAATTTGTTCTTTATATATGAGGAGATTGTCCAGAAGATTGCGAACGGGTTTTGGTAAAACTGGAATCTTCTAGTCCCGAACCTGCACTTTGGTGGCGAATTTAGTCATCAACGCCATCATCAGAAAGGATGCGATTAGCAATAAAGAAATTAAATTCTTGGATACAAAATAAAGCCGACGATGACGTATTAGCTTTTGGTAGGCGTTGTTTTTTTGTTGTTTTTTTTTCTATTTGAAGACTGTTTCGGATTCACATTGTCTGTCTTCTGTTAAAAACTTCCTAAATATTTAAATTTTCGTTACTTCTTGATTTTGGTGTCTTCAACTTATAATTAGCATCTTGGGCTGCTACTTTTGTTGACAATCATACATTCTTCTTACAACTGATGATTACGCCTTTCTTTTCACTTACCTTTACTACGTTCTGTAGGAATTCTTGTAGTTTCCTTTCTTTGTCTGATATCAACATTGTTATTTACATATCTTATGCTGTTAAGATTGTGACCGCGAATAATGAATCTTGTTACGACTTCCGATTCTCACGGGATCGCCTTGTTGTAGAGATTGAATAAGTCAGGTGAGAAAACGCAACCTTGTCTTACGCCCCTCTCTATTTATGTTAATTTTCTATCTGTATGCAGATGGTTTGCTCACCGTATAAGTTCTGAGTTATTCTAATATATTTCCCAAATAAATCAAACTTACCGAGCAGTTTAAACACTTCTTTGTGTCGTACCTTTTCAAACACTTTTGTCTAATCTATAAAACATCTGTCTACATTCGGCTGCATTTGTATTACTTTTCCTTTTATCATTCTGAGTATAAATATCACATTCCGTGTTTCATTATCTTTAACGAAACCGCACTTTTCTTGTATTATTTCTGACTTAATTCTGCTACGAGCACTATTCATCAGAATTCGAATCATAAGTTTTGTTAGGCTGATTGTCCGATGGAGCTCGCATTCATTTGCACCTGGATTCTTAGGCAGCGTTATACAAATGAGTCTACTAAGGTATTCCGGTATATCACCACTGTCTATATTTTATTCTGTATTTCTCTAATTCCCGGTTTTGATTTTAGCCATGCTGTCAATGATAACATCTTTCTTCCTGTTATTTCTCTTATTCTTTAATATTTATCGGCCTTATCTGTAAGGTCCATTTTTTCTATTTCTACACAATTTTCTTTGAGTCATTCCTCTTTAGCCTGTCTGCATTTGTTTCTGATTTATTTCTATGATGTATTATCTTCTGTAACACTACTTGAAATTGTTTGCTGTTTCCTTTTTATAATCTCCATAATTTTATCTGTCAATCATTTTTTCTTGCCTTGTTTTCTTTGAGATGATCTCGTTTGCTGATATCACTGAAGCTTCTTTTAATGTCTCATTTAGTATTTCCATTCTCACTTAGTTCATAGTATCTGATTTTATTGATGCCAGTATACACCTCTTTATATTTCGTCTCATTCAGGAGTCGATTGTATTCCAATTTGTGCGCTGTGTTGGCCATCTTCACCTTCCGTAGTTTCAATCTAAAATTGCATATCACTGGAAAATGGTCACGCCTGCAATCTGCACTTGTGTATGTTTTATAGTGTAAAACTGCATTCTTGAATATTTTATTGGTCGCTATGTAGTCAATTTGGTTCATAGCTTCACATCCTTGGCTTCTCTATGTCCATAAACAGTTTGAGTGTTCTTGAAACCGGGTGTTGGCTAGCACCTGGCCCTCCATCATTGGAGTCATTTTTCTCAAAGTTCATTAAGGGTTCCTAGTCTGAATTCCCAACTATTTGATCATCTACCCTACTTTGACATTCAGGTCTCCCATTACAATTGCAATTTCCTCTGATATGCATTGAGCCTTGCCTTTCTTCAAGGTGTAGTAAAATTCCAATTACTTCCTCCGTGTTTTGAGCTGTTGGTGCATTTAGTTTAACTACAAGATAATTGACGTTTTCTTCAAATATGAGTGGGCATCACATATACGTGTGTGCGTGGACACACATATTCCATATATATAGATGTGTGTGTGTGTGTGCGCGCGCGTGTGTGTGTGATTTACATGAAATATTCAAAGAATATAAGATGAAATACGTCAAAACCAATTGGAGGTTTAAAATTTTTTATTTTCTTGTTGATGCCTCACTCTTTTTACGAGAGCATTAACAAAACATAAGTGAAAAAATCTAAGGAAAATGCATCCCAGCAACATTTTGATCAGTTTGGCAAATTTTAATAGTTAATGAAATTAAAGAAATATATTTGTGATTTTCATATTTTTTAATTTATTTTTTAATTTGCAAAAAATGGCAAAATGAAAGCTGCTAAGCATGGAGGTGATGATACAAATTGAAATTTTATTCAAAGAAGGCTACTCTCAAAGACAAATTGTCAAGAAGTTAAAAATTTCTAGACAAATAGATCTTGCAACTTGGTGATAATTTCTTAATTTAAAGATATCGACTGGATAAGACATAATTAGTTTTAATGTTATTCTTTTGTTGAACGTGAAGCAAATGGATCAAATATGAACTTCAGTGAAAATAAACCTCCTGTTGAGATAATACGGTAAAATTTTGTGACTTTTAACGTCGATAAAGTCGTAGAGTGATATATTTCTTATTGGCACAGAGCCGAGAAAAAGATTCTTAGAAATGTGGGTAAAGAAGATTTTAATTAATTAAAAAATAATTAATTAAAAATAATTAATAAAAAAAATAAGTAAACAAAAAAAAGGCAGGTGTGAGGAGGGGCGATATTTTCAAATTATATTTATGAAGGAGACAGAGATCTAGGCATTTAACAAACTTAGTTCAACAAGTGTCAAGTTTTAGTTAGTTGTTTGGCTTATCAACACCTCTATGGGTTATTTAATGCCGAAATCTAAATATTTTTGTACATAATTTCTTTTTTTTTTATTTTTGACGATAATAATGGTTTAGTGATATAAGCTGGGGGAGAAGAGATATATTCATACCTTTCCCAAGAGTATTCGTGCTTAAGTGAATATAACAAACCCGACTGGAATTGGAATCAAACTTACAGCACCTGGTATTTTTCAAGCGGTTACTCGTCTAGGTACTGAGCAGGCTCGAGATTGCTTAATTTCAGTGATCGTACGGGAATCGGTGTTTCAACGTGATGTGGCCTTAAACCACAAAGCGTAAGGAAAAAGGTCTAAAATTTGAACACAAACGTTACTCGAGAATGACTCAGTAAGTAGAAGGAAAATATTTGCATTAAAATAAAGAGATATTAAGGTTGAATCTTTTTGGCTACAACCAATCAATCCGTTAATGTGAACATTTTCCGAATTGAAAATTTCTGAAAATAATTTGGAACTACAATAAAAATACATTTAAGTGAATCAAAATATTCACAGATCATTACAAATGACACATGCTCTCAAAAAGCTTTAAAATGGCTTCTTGTCTGTATTTGCCCGTTGAATATATGCCTACGAAGAGGCATTTAAACGTTATCAACCAAAGTGGTTTTCAATGGTAGTTTTCTAAGCGTATTTCAGATGTGGCACAAGGCTGAACGTGAGTATTGAACACACTATTAAGCGTTGATCTCTAGCGAGACAACATCGCTAATCATTAAAGACCATATCGAACTGTCCAAAATTTCAGCGATCAAACATCAAAATTTTTTTTTGAACTGACTGAAAACCTTTTAGTATCACCTGGTAGAAATTAAGTCAGGAACGATTATGATAACATGTGTTTTACGTAACAACTGACTGCCATAGTGTTGCGAAATCAAGTCACATTATTTGATTCACAGACTCAAGCAACGCAGTGTCGTCAGATTAGAAATAGCAGTTGAAATAGAAGTTTTGATCTCTGTGTTGTCCTCGAGTAATTCTTTCCTGGTAAATCTCTATAGACTGGGAGGCAATCATGTACCAATGTAAATAATCCTGGCTGTTTTTAGAATTTTACCAAACTTTTTAGTGTAAAAATAGAAAAGGGCGCTAACTCTTGTTAAGACTTAGAGTTGTCCTTCTTTTAATGTCTTTTCAGGCATTATGTGGTTGACGATTACATTCGCTTTTAATGCAAATCAATTTTGTGACAATCAATGATGTTGATAAAATTTTCAGGATAACCCTATATTTATATAAGCCATATATCATGTGAGCTTAAGCTTATAATTATATCTGTTCTTATCAAAATATTAACTTATTTGTGAATGTCAGACTTGATTAAAAAATGCCGGTGCAACATGAATTTATATATAAAAATCCAAACGATATTCTTTTTTATGAGCCTTGCTCCTTCAGGGCGTGGTCGATCATAGCTCTTCGCAACTTCATGTCCTCTGTAGCATTAAGCAATGTTTGCACCTTTACTATCGTTCCTTGTTCATTTTCTGCCATCCATTTACACAAGCTCATTAGACATGTTACTCCGCTGCTTCTTTTCTGTCCCTTTTACCGTCATTATGACATATGAGTGTCAAATTTTCCAAGCACTCTTTCCTCATTATGCATCCAAGACATTTCAACTACTTCACTTTGATTCTAAGCATAAGTGTCATTTTCATTCTCATTTCCTTAAAACTTTCTCCCTGCTCACATTTTCCGTATATATTATTCTCAGTATCCTTCTGTAGCACTACATCTCCTTTGATTCAAATCTCTTCATTTGTGGGGAAATTGTCCGGCACTGCCATATAGGAGGACTGATATTACACAATAGCTCGGAAATTATCTTTGTTTCCAACGAAATTATCCTGTTTTTTCAATGTTTTATTTCTTAATTTCTGGAAAGCATCTTTCGTTATTTCAACTCGTCTTCAGATTCCAGTGTCATACTGCATAACACGGTATCGAAACATTGCAATACAATATTATGCGTTGTCAGTATTTAATAAAATAGCCGTTTGGTCCTATTAAATGTGGAAAGGAACTACCAAACAACATCCACAAAAGGGCATGAAAGTTTTATTTTCCATAACTATATATATATATATATATATATATATATATATATATATATATATATATATATATATATATATATATGTATTATTGGGGGCCTGGCTGAGTAGTTGGAACTTCCACTTTGTGTCTATGAGACCCCGCTTTCGAATCCCACGATGGTTGATTTGTAAAGGTGGTGACCTTGAAAATATCGGCATTGGGTGGGAGAGATATAAGCGTGCAATACCTTTGGAAAATGCCTGAAAACCATACCCACAGATTAAACCAAGCTTTGTTACTGAAATTGGGTAGTGGGCACTGTTGTGAAAATATCGTGATCGAGGGTTTGCGTGTACTGGTCTTGTTAAAAAATTGATCGCATCAGATTATGTGCTCTCTTACTAGAAACTGTAATTAAGATTCATTCAGTCTAGTTGCAGTATAAACCACGTGTTTAATAAGGTTTGTCTAACCCCACCCTGGCCAACAGGGGGTGCTCGTAAACGAGTAGTAACTGGCCATGATCTTACTAAGAAAATAGATGTCACGATAGAGCCGCCATATTTTATCTGAACCCAGGTTTCCTCTCCGGGCTTCATACATTCACGGAGAGCCTATATTCAAATGCGTTAATGATGCCGTCTTTCTGCATGCCTTTGTATCCGTGTGTATGCAATGGTAAAAAGCTTATGAAACTACTAAATGATAGCAAATAGACTGCACTGCAAAATTATTCGATCTCCCTCGGGGCCTCTGACTAATTACAATTTGTCAGAACAAGCGAGACATTATAAATATTTAAAGTTTCTATTTTGGAGCAATTTACACTAAATCTGCACAGAAAACTTTCCGCATGTTTCTGAGGTTGGTCTGAAAATTACCAATGCGTTTTATACCCCTTATAATTAATATTTTAACTTTATAAGTTTGTTCGTAAAATTAGACTAAAATAATATTTCAATTTAAAAAAAAATTCGAATTTACAGACATAGCGAAATATTAATCTTAAAAATGTGGATATTTACTCATTAAGATTGCTTTCTAAATACATTCTGCGCATATTTTTTCTATGAAAAAAGTGAACACAATACATTCATAATCCTACTTATAATGACATACCCCCAAGCAGTTTATCCATGTAAGCTGTCCGTTGGTTTATGACAGATTGTACGTATTGGTTGTTAAAGTAAATGCATTAAAAAGATCTCATTATGCCAATGTTGGTAATTAAAAAGTTGATAAAGAAAGAAGACGAAAAAACAACAATAACAGTTTTCAATATTTTATATTAACAACAGTATTATTTTCAGCGATTCAGTCATATTTGCCTGTTTCTAAAACTCATTTTTATCCGAAAGAATGATATTCAAATGATAAAAGGGACTGAGTATATATAGCAACATTTTCTCTGCAAATAAGTCTCCAAAAATCAACCTGCTTTACTTTTAATTTACTAAATTTTATGTCCACCCCTGGTCAAAATCTTAAGATTAGATATATAAGGGTTAAAAAATATATAAAATACTATTAATTTAATCAAAATAAATTTGCGAAACATTTACATTTAATTAGAAAATGTAGTTTATCAACAAACAAGTGAAAATTTTAAGCTATTAATTGATTAATTTAAACAAAGATTAAAAAAGGATTTTTTTGGTTGGTCATAAAGATAAGACCATACAAATGAAAATAGCAAATACAGAACAAATAAATCACAACGACAATTTAATTCTCAGTACATCCTCCATTTTTGCGAATTAATTAGAAAATTCGCTCATTATTAACTTCTGCTTGGGATGCTGCTCGCCCAGGATGCATAAACTGCAGCACGAAGAGCATCCACAGTTTCAAATTGCGATCCATGTTAATAAACATCGTTTGCCATCAATCTCCAAACATTCTCGCTTGAGTTTCAATCTGGAGAGCGTTGTGGATTGCAGCATTGCCCTGCTGGAAAATCCAGTTTTCTCAACATAGATGAGGGCCTTCAGTAATTAGCGATGCCTTTCTTAACATGTCAATGTAACTAGCAGCTGTTTAACGACCTTTTACCTCCTTAACTCAAGAGTTCCATTGTACGAAAATGAACCCTAGACCATAATTGATCCACCCCCACTGTGTCGTGTTGAGAAAATTTCTTTTGGGACATTTTTTGCATGCCAGTAACGCTGAAAACCGTCTGGGCCATCAAGATTGAATTTTTTCTTGTCTGAAAACAACACTTTCTTCCATTTATCCATATCCCAAGTTTGATAATCGGAAGCAAATTGTAAACGGGAGGTTTTATGGCGAAGAAGAAGGCGAGGCCTCTGCAGTCGTTTCAAGTTATTAAACTCTTTCTTATTTAAATGCCGTCGAATTGTTCGAGAGCTGCATTCAGCATCTGTATTCGCTTTTATTAGATTTGATGTTAGGCTTGAATCTCTCTTAACTTCTTGCTTAATGCGTCTGTCTAGAGACGGTGAGATTTTATTGGGGCGAGTGCTTGATTTTTTTAGAAGTATACGCATCTGGATTTTTAATGAAGTTAGCAATGACAGTTCTGCTATGGCCAATTTCATTTGCAATGGCTAGTTGCGAAAGACCACATCTTTGAAGTTCAACAATCCTGTCCTGTTCGAACTTTGTTTTACCCTTAGTCATTTTAAAATCTGAAATTTAATACTGCAAATACGCAGATGTCTACACGCCTGAAGCTATGAGCACACTGACTAGTTCTAAAGTTTTTGTCCAGTAATTTGTTTTTTTCACACATGGTCTTATCTTTATGACCAACCAAAAAATCCTTTTTTTCGAAGTTTGTTTAAATTAATCAATTAAAAGCTTAAAATTTTCTCTTGTTTGTTGATAAACTACATTTTCTAATTAAATGTAAATGTTTCACAAATATATTTTGATTAAAGTAACAGTATTTTATAATTTTTTTTAAACCTTTTGTATCTGGTCTTAAGATTTTGACCATGGGTGTATATTCATTTCATTAGTTATCAGTATAGTATAACCGAGTTAGTGTATTGTTAGGTTAACTTTTCAATTAGTATGTACCGCGGTTGGCCAGTCATATAACCATTAATGGCCAACCAAACAGACACCTTATTGACAGAGAAGGTTGTTTTCGGGTAGACGCCAATAAAAAAACAAAATATGCATTCCTGGCGCATGGGAGAACACAACCTCTTGTAGCATGACGTGTTGTACTTGTGAGTAAAGACATGTTTT